TTGTTCAAATTTTCATATTATCGATATTTATCGATTTGCTATCGATATGGTGTTTTAAGCATAGCTCGAGAATTATAAGAGTTATTTACAGCAAACTTGGTTACGAGGTTCTCGTATACTTAGTATGCACATATTATGAATAATGCACTTTCTTAATACCTTCGCATAGAACAAGGTTAGCATAATTGTAGGTGCAGCGGTTCAAAGTAACTTGTCACCTGTGGTTATCAAGTGGACTCGGCTTCTCCTCGTTAACATTATTTACCTATTGTTGAAGCTCTCAACAATAGTTCAAACTATTGACAATACAGCCATAATTATAAAGCAACAAAATGGTATCTCTATTATCACTTTTCTAACCGTGGCGACCATCTCTAGCTAAGTGTACTCCACTTCTAGCGACGATATCATCATTATGACAGCTCATTTGACGGCGCACTTAACACACAGTTCCAAATTGAAGACGACGCATGAGTTTGAATGAATCTGTGCGCGGATTCTCGCGGTTCGAAGCTCGCAGTTCGTGTCTCGCGTCTCGCGTCTCACGTCTCACGTCTCGCGTCTTTTCGTCTCATGTATCAAGTCTCGTGTCTCAATTTCATGCAATTAAGTTCAATTCGAGCTGGTTCTAGCTGGGCCTCGTCTGTTGCCTCCATCGGCTTGCAGCTTGCAACTGGCAACTGTAGTTTCTTTCGAGTGGCTCTTGTTGAACGCACGAGTGCAAAGGCAACACCCCCGCCACACCACCAACGCCTGGCCCGGCCAGGCCATGGATTGCCATTGCCCAGCCAGCCATTGAGCACAGTGCAACGGCATCGGGCTTGGTATCGTGTTGCAGCTTTTGTCCGCCTGCCGCCTCAAAGGCATGAAGTAAACAAACAAAAGGCAGCAGCAGCAACAACCACCGCAGATCGCACCAGCAGAGGGCCATTCGAGGTGCTCCCAATGTTCCATAAATAGAGTTGCAGCACGTTGAGAATTCGAATCGTTCGCCTTTCGAACAATTGATGCACGTTTGAAGTAGCTCCACAGCTTTAGCTTTAGCCAGTGGCCCCCATCACCGTCACCTTCCAATTGCTTCACCGTGCCCGTCTACAGCTCTATGGGCATCCCCAACTCCTGTTCCTTCTGCATTGTGCATGCGTAGAAATTTCATGTGAAATTCTTGCCTTGCATTTTTCCACAAATCTCGTTGGTTCCCAAGATTCCATTCAATATCATTCCACTTAATTCCTTTCATCGGATGCCATGCGATTCCTTTGACTTTGATGTCGTCTTCTATCTTCAATGCATTTTCAGGATTCTTGTTTATTTAAGGGCAACAAATCCTTTATGTTCAATCTACATAAGCTTAAATACAAAGATCATGCAAGCTGAATATTTTGCTAGATAGCTTCCACTTTATATTTTAGCTTTAGGACGGTAAACGAAAAATCTTTCCTACAAACGTTTTCCGCCAATTTACCACTGTGTCAGGTGAAATATCCCAAATCGAAACCTTTTCATTAAGTTCTTCGTATTTTCCACCGTGAGAGCTTTGATTTTGCCGAAAATGGGAAACACACCCCCATTTCCACCAAGGAGAAATACATTTATCGCAAAGTGTGAAACAACTCTCAAATGAATTTCAGCAAAAATCTTTGAAAATAAGTTTGAGTCCGAAACAAAAGTTTCATACAAACGATTTTCGCCATTTTTCCACACATGCGAGTGGAATTTCCTGTTTGAATCTCAGTTAATTATTTGTTACGTTAAAGATTAAAAGATAACCTATATATTAAAACAAAAAACAGTTCTTTTAACCGTTTAATGAAGCGGATAACATTTTCCGACTGGGTTGGCAGCCTGGCTTTAAACACATTTCAGTCTTTCCGACTTTTTCTAATTCGTACTAGCATTAACCATGTCCTTCATAAGCAAATTCTGCTTTCAACTTGGCCAGTCTGCAATTGTCATTGCTTTGAGCCAGTTGACAGGGGCTCTGCGCTGATTTACGCTCCAGTTGCGGCAACATTAGCATTTGTCTCCCTAATTAATGTTGCCGCCCCCCGAGTGCAGGCTGGCATAAACGCCCCTTATTTAGACAATGCAATGGAACAACAATAACATGTGTAATCATTTGCCAGCTGGGACAACAACAACGTTTAGTTTTATACAACAATGAGGCATTTTTAATGACTTCTCAAACGCAGCACTTCAAGAGGGGGACGGCGCACACTACGCAGTTAGAAAGAAAGACTAACAATAGAGAGAGAGAGAAACAAAAAATAAACACTAATAATTTGCAATGTTGATGTTAAATGTTCAGTTTTGTCACAAATTACCGAATGGAAAATGCAAGTTGAAGCTTGTGACGTCAGCGCGTGACTAAGATAGATAAAATACCAATGAACACATTGTGAGCACAACGCACACGTCTTATAAATAAATTGAATAATTGACGATACGACAAAGCAGCTAGCTAAAATATTGTTTATCTTATCACACATTACCCTGAGATATATATGTATATATGTGTGTGTATGTGTGTGTTCATACTCAGCCCGAGGCTGTTCAAAGATAGTCACAAAAGGTATTTCAGAAAGATCTATCACTTTCCATTTGGGATAACTACATGTAACTCCAGTTGAGGGCTTGTTATTTGGAAAGTGACATATTCTTGGCATGCGTATGCAATACGAGAACCTGCATACCAAAGTTGGTGTCTCTCGCTCTTATAGTTCTCGAGATATGCCCACAAAAGGTATTTCAGAAAGATCTGTCACTTTTTATTTGGGATAACTACGTGTAACTGCACTTCAGAGCCTGAAGTTTGGAAAGTGACATATTCTTGGCATGCGTATGCTATACGAGAACCTGCATACCAAATTTGGTGTCTCTCGCTCTTATAGTTCTCGAGATATGCCCAAAAGTTTGGAGCTGGCAAGCCGACATTTAACGACTATACAATTTTAAAGGCAAATTCAGTTAGTTTCAGCAAAGAGCAGCAATTGAATTAAGCTAGAGCATTAGTTTGTTTTTATTTGCCTTATTTTTGTACTCTTTAATTTGTGTTTGCTTGCATCGGCTTGGCCCCAAAGCATATCAAATGGCCGGCCCAACCCGACGCCCCTTTAAGGCGACCCAAAAAGGGGCCCGAGAAAGAAGAAGACAACATGTCAGCACGAATGAAGCGAACGCTAACGACATGTCAACTACTGTTAGCTGCGGTCACGTTGCCGTTGCCGTTGCCATGACCATGGCCATGGCCATTGCCAGAGGCCCCCAACCCTGGGCCTCCTCCGCGGCTGCAGTCTGAAGTCAGTCGGCAAACTGGAAATAGTCACGGCGCACGCTCTACGCCCACCGAAAATGGGCAGGCAACAGAAACCGCAGCGTGATCAGCGGCTAGTTACGGCCGAGACCGAGACTGAAGCCGAGGCCGGAGCCAGAGCCAGAGCCGGAGCGAAAGCGGCTGCGACCGCAAATGTTGTTGTGCCAAAATGAGAACAAGCAAAAGAAAATAAAAGAAAGGAAAACAGATAGTGGAAGGGAACAAAGCAACAACAACAACAACAACAGCCATAAGAAAATAAATAAAAGCACACACGATCAACCTATTCACAAACTATGTAACTGATGAGCTTATACGGTCACACTCTGTTCAATTACTTGGAGAGTACACTGAGAGAACAGAAATAATGTGACCAGTCAATTAACTTATTTCGTTTATTTTCTTAGTAAGAAAATACTAAAGCCTGGACTTCGAACCAGCACCCTCCCAAAAGCCAGAATCACTTACGAGCGAACATTCTTCTTATGAGAGCATTCAGAAATTTGAATATTTTTATTGTCTAGAAATGGAATTTTCACTTTTCTGATAAACTTTAACTCTCAAAAAGCCTAGTGAAAAGTAACATTACATTTTAAATCAATTTTACATACATTAGTTAAAAAAAGTGATGAAGTAAAAGTTTAAAATTCTGTTCTATGTAAAATATCTCAACTTAGACATCTATTCCAAAAGCTCCCGATTGTGAACTAATTTCTGCTCAGTAGAAAAACAGCTAACGGGAAAGCGGAAAAGTGCTCTCATTATCAAGCGGTGAGTCTCTAGATACTTGTTATATATGTCTATATATGCGATTTTGAGACAAAACAATTCGGACTTCAAGTAGTCTTTTCTTTATTATAAAAATAAGCGAAGAGGTACCCTGAATATATTACATCTCCAAAAGAATAGAAACAATGAGGCCGTAATTCAAGGAATTACGAATTTTTGGAAGACCCAGCCCCATACGTTTGTTTACCAAACAAGCCGCTTGTTATCGCAGCCAAAAATTTCCAGAGTTGATATAGAAAATTGCCACAGGCGACTTAACTTAACTCGAGCAACTAACGTGTGCACGCGTTTAGCCATTTAGTGCCTGCGATTACCTAATTTCAGTCTTCCGTTCACTTTAATTGCGATTGAGAGTCTCAGACTCTGGGTCTTGCTTGGGCTTAGGTGAATCCCTGACACACATTCAACAGCGATTTGAGTGAATCACAAATGGGCATTCGCGTGTTGAGAGCTGTGAATGGATTCGTGCACCTGCGATTGACTAATTGAGGTAAATTCTTAAATGGATGAAACACGTTCTCAATAAATATTTATTTGCTATCGAATATCAAACGAGTTTTTGCATCGATTTTAAGAACTAACCTTCAAGTGGATCGTTTTCACCAATTTTCCACCCATAAGAGTGAAACTTTTGTTAGAGCTCAGCTTTGTAGATAGCTCAGGTTCAGGTGCATTATAACAGACCCTAGCAAAAATTGTTTTAATGCGTTTCTCACAAATTATCCACCCATAAGAGTGAAACTCTCGTTAGAGCTCAGCTTGGTAAATAGCTCAGGTGCATCATAACAGGTAACTACTGCAGCACGCTTGATCAATCAATCAGTCAGTTAGTCAGTCAGTTAGTCATTCATTTTAATTTAATATAAATATGCATATTAGTATATAGATTGAAACTTACGTTTTGGATACAAAGGTGGGCGACACCTGGCCGTTTCAGCATTGTTGTTGTTGTTGTTGTTGTTGCTGCCATTGAGACTGCTGATGGCATGGGCCACGGCGCTGCCCTCGGCAGCTGCTGCTCCTCCTGCTCCAGCGGCTGGCTGCGACAGCGACAGCGACGGCGGCTGCGTTTGTGGCAGCGGCGGCGGCTGTTGTTGTTTCATGGATCCGCTGCCGCCCAGCACGCCGACGCCGACGCCGCCGCCGCTGAAAAGGCGACGCTGCTGTAGAAACGCCGTTTTGTCTGCCTTTGTCTCGCTGCTTCTGATTGTTATTATTACAATTTATTTATGTTTTTTTTTTTTTTGCTTTTGTGGTTGTGCAAAATGTGATGCTAAACGTTCTACTGCAATAGTTAAATGTTTATTGTTGGTTCGGTTGCTTATCAGCGATCGAGATAAACGTGTGTGCATATGTAGGTGTACGTGTATGTGTGTGTGTGCAATAGAGTTGCTGCGCGAGTGCGAAAAGAATAGCAACTATTGCAAAAAAAAAAAATAGTATGTGTGGACTTTTAAGGTTTCACACACACGCACATTATACATATATATACACACAGCTGCCCTATAATTACGTCCTGCTGACACCGTTAAATGCGTAATTGAAAACGAATTGCGCTCAATGAGAGCCAAGGCAACAACAACAATAACAGCAGCAGCAAACTAACGGTGCTTTGGGCAGCTGTTTCTTGCAGTCCTCTTTGCGCAGCTAGCCGCTGCCTGCAGCAGCGGCTTCACCTTGACCTACACAAATACAATAATAACCGAGCGCAGTTTGAACAGCTCTACACAAACACACACAGTAAAAAAAATTAGGTTCAATTGAAATAAAATCACGCGCAGATTTGTTATAAAAGAAACAGAACTAACATAAACTATGTATATCCGTTGCACTTTGCTTTCAAATACCTTCCCACTAGAGCAGCAATGTAAAACACAACCAACCCGCGGGTAGTGTAACTGACTATTGTGGGACTGAAATAGGTATTTCATATGTGTTAAGCCACAAGCGGGCACACTGCCTAATGTTAAACTCAATTTGGCACTGATACGTTAATGGTTCTGTTAACTTAACATAAATTATATTAATTTGCATTAACATGCTATTCACAGAATATCCAGAGAATATTTTGGCGCCATAATATAATAATATTAATAATAATAATTAAACTTTAAAATCAACTGTGCTGCGTCAAGTAGATCAAAATTGTTTCATTTATTTAAGTCAATTGTTCTCCAATGTTCATGTGCATTGAACAAATTTATCCTAACGGCTGCCGATAGTGAGCAGTGTTAGCTAACGATACTTTTCTTATGATACATCACCGAACTAGTAATTGAACAAATATCGATATAGAAGTCTCCAGAAAACATCGATACCGAGTCATTGTGAAATCGGTCCCCGTTGGATACACATCGTGTTCTCCGTGAATATTCTATAAAACTAAAAAAATTATACATTTTCGTCACGGTGAGTGGGCCTTTACATTTATTTTATCAAATATTTTGTTAGCCACTTTTGTTTTGTGTTAAATGGTGAAAGTGCCCGCGTCGATGCTCTCAGTGTCGCAATTGGTGTGTGAAATAGTATTTTGTTTTGTTTTTTGATGTGGGGGGCTCCTTTGGACGGCCGGCGGAGCACCACTTTTCGTGCTAGCTTAGCTTTTTTTTTTAATGGATACACACAATGCGACAGCGACTGCGGTTGATGGTGACTTCGTTTGCACAACGGGTGCATGGGCACACTTTAGTGTGGTGTACTTGTTGTTGTGTTTTCAAAATGGCGGCCATTGCAGACAATTTGAGGAAAAAGTTTATAATAATTACAAAATATTTATTAAACAAAAACAGTTGTTGGAGTGTTGTAGAAATTGAAATGAAAAAAATGAGCGCGCAAATGTTGTTTGTGTGTTTGTTTAGTTCGTTTTATATATACTGTACTTTTGATTATGACATATCAACTTGATTCTGACCAACTTTTATTGTTATTTTCGTTTTACTTAATTGTATGCGTGTGTATACTAGCGCTCGACACAAACACAAACATACATACACACTGGTAGTGACACATGCGCATGAGCTTTTGAGTATGTGTTTGTATGTGTGTGGGCTTGTTGGCTTTTTTTTCTTTTATTTGTGCACAAACGGTACAGCGTTTCTTCTAACCCCAATTATTGCAATTTCGGCATGTCTACATGCATGTATGTATGTCGCATTAGTGAAGTGAACATGCACCCCCACACACACAACTGCATTTTGCCATTAGGATGTGCAGCTGTTTCATACGCACCAGCAAGATGCAATATTGTTTTGCGCGCGTTAAATGCGAACGACGCAATTTTCGGTTGGGCACCTTTCGCTCCCTGTGTACAGCTCTCTTTCTCTCTATCCCGCTCGCTCTCTGTCACATCTATTGCTATTAACGCGCTGTTTAATGCACAATATTGCCAGCCCGTTTACACATTTGGCATTCAAATGGGCGCCAAGTCTGTGTGTTCCTTTACATTGCTTGCATTGTTATGAAATAGGCAATGTACAAAAGGAAGCACCTGCGTATATGCATGTATACATTTGCGCATGCATACTTGCTAGCACACACATATGCATTCGTGATCACTAATATTTGCATGGTATCAATACTGAATTCTTCGGAGCGTATATAAATGCAAGCTGTGTATGTACGTGCAATTACATATGTATGTGAGTCGTTTGTGCTGTGTATGCATAGGACATCCGATGTATTGTGGTTTTTCTTTAGAATTAGATGCTGAGCATATACTTAAGACACTTCAGTTGTGGTATTTATGCTAATATGCGAACAATCTTAATTTTTGAATAAGAATTTCAGAATCATTAATAGCTCCTATATTAGAACATAAACTGATTTCCAAAAAATGGGGTTCATCAAAATATTTTTCTATATAGAAAAGCTCAAAGCTAGAAATAATATAAATATTTATTGAGTATAGGAAATACATACAACAGACTCATACATGACTAGACAACATCACGGCATACTTTCGAATTCATGTAAGGGTATGCAAGTTTTCGATGCTCACAAGAAATATCGATGCTTTTTGCATCTGCTTACTCGAGTGGCGTTTACCGTTTGTTGCGGGCCTCCTAGAAAGTCTTGTGCATATTTTCCAAGTGAATGCTTTGTGTGCATGTATGTGTGTGTGTGCTCCAGTATTTGTGTGTGTAGGTCTAAAACTAAAAACTACAACTCATTACTTCAACTTGATTGATTCTGCGTGCATAAAAAGCAGAACTAAAAAATTCACGACGCTCGAGTGGCATAGCACAAAAAAAATAATGAAAAATAAAAGAAAGGCTGGGGCGAGAAAAAAGAGCGATTCATGCCGAGCTCAAGGCACATAACAAAAAAAAAAAATGTATGCACTCACACAATGGCTCAAGTGGGCACTCAAAGCTGTGGGCTGCCGCACTGTCGCTGCAGCAGCAGCAGCAGACGGCAGCGACGACGTCGCAATTGAAGTGGAAGTTATGAAGTGTTCCCAGAAAGCAGCCGAATGCCCAAACCAAATACAAAGCTAAGGAAAACGCACAGCACGTAGCCGAACAAAAGGAAAATTTCTGCAGCTGCTGAAGCTAAAGATTTCAACCCTCGTCTTTTTGGCGCTGCTGCTGCTGCTGCTGCTGCTGTTGTTGTTGCCGCCTTCGTTGCAGCCATAGTTGGCACATTCGCATCAGTCGCGCGCCAGCGCTTCGGCGCTGAGCGTCGCATTTGTGCGGCCAGCTCTCGACACAGAAACCAGTGCAGTGGAATCTAATTGAAAAATCTTCTTGCAGCATATTAAGTGAAAATGGCACGTACCAAGCAGACCGCCCGTAAATCAACTGGAGGCAAGGCTCCACGTAAGCAGCTGGCCACCAAGGCAGCCCGCAAATCGGCACCGTCCACCGGCGGCGTTAAGAAGCCCCATCGTTATCGTCCCGGCACCGTTGCTCTGCGTGAGATCCGTCGCTACCAGAAGTCAACTGAGCTGCTTATCCGTAAGCTGCCCTTCCAGCGTTTGGTGCGTGAAATTGCTCAGGATTTCAAGACCGATTTGCGTTTCCAGTCAGCTGCCATTGGTGCTCTGCAGGTAAGTACAGGCAAAAAAAAACAATATCAAGGTGTGCTGCACCATTAACAATGTCAAACGTAACGTGTATCGCTCGCTCTCTAATTGCAGGAAGCCTCTGAGGCCTACTTGGTCGGCTTGTTTGAGGACACCAACTTGTGCGCCATTCATGCCAAGCGTGTCACCATTATGCCCAAGGACATTCAGTTGGCGCGTCGCATTCGTGGCGAGCGTGCTTAAGCGCAGCAAACACAAAAAACATCAACAACAAAAACAACAAACAAACAAAATACACAAAAATCACATTCATATTATATACACAAGCAGCAGCATAGTAATTTGTTAAACGAACCGAAACAAAATCAGTTCACAAATATTCGTCAATTGGAGCTTGATTTCATTTATATCTTACGCAAACATATACATAAATATAAATACCATATATATATATATATGTAGCATTATAATTGTATAACCACACACAAAAAAAAAAAAAACAAAAACAAAACAAAGCAAAAGAAAAAAGAATTCAGAATAACGTGCATACTTATGCTTCGTTTTATTATACATACATATATAAACATAATCTATGAATATTTTAATTAATAACTGTAACTCTTATTATTATTATTGCTATTATTATAAATTTGTATATTAGTTTTAAGTTTGTGGCTCGCCCGCTGCACGCATTGCGTTGGTCGACGCCATCAAATCCGATCCCAAGATAGATGCCGTTGCAATGCCAGCCGTTGGCATCCCGCTGCCGTCTCCAACATCGCCCCATGAACTCCAACAGCGCATGCAGCGTGTTGCCACAGGAAGCGCTGCACTCTGAACGGCAGCGCGCACAGCGGTCCCTTAAAAAAAAAAAAAACAACAACAACACCATCCAAGATACAGAACCGAAAGAAGCCGCTGTGCGTCGCCAGCCGCCGGACAAGATCATTGGGCGAGTGAGTGCAACGCTTCCTTTGGCAGCCTGATGCGTTGCATGTGCGGCAAGTCGGCGGCATGATGCCAACGGTTGTTGCAACAGCGTCGCGTTGCCGTTCAGGCGCAATGCGGACAGCGGGCGGCGGGGCTGAATGAACAACAACCCAATTTGGTCAGCAAACATACATATATCAGAAATGAGTACACATAATATTGCAACTATTTTATATAATAATACTTTTACATCATTTTTTTTTTATTTCACTTAATATTACATATATAATTTTTGGAGAAAAGAGAACTTAATGAAAAGAAGTATGGAAACGATGAAGGGGCCCGCCCCCAACTCTGCCGAGAGGCGGTGCGGTGCGGTGGGCGTGGTAGTTGATTAAATAAGTTTTAGATTTACATGCATTTTATACGTTTAGACAAGGAAATAAAACAAACAGACAACAAAACAAACAGAAAATAAGTGAAAAGCGAAAAGCAAACAACAAATTTGATAAACAAATCATGCAAAATGCAAAACCAACCGCATTAACTAACAACTTCTTTAAAAATAGCATAAACAAACATACATTCTTAAAATGTATGTCGCAAACATATATGCATATATATACATATGTTAAATGAAATGTATTACGTATATGATCTATTCTATATATATATACACTTAAATAACTTTACATAAATGTTTACGGAACTTACAAGATATTCATACGATATATAAACACAAGTAACCCCTCCAACAATGCACTAAAACGAAAAGAGATTTGCAAATACAAGAAGTTGCATAGTTTGTTGCATTCAAAAACAAAAAACAAAAAAAAATTACAAAAATCTTATAAATGTTTTTTAGAACACATGAGACAATTCAATAGAACACGGCAAAACAGAAATCCCCAAACACCAACTTAAATAAACGGTTTTTTCTAGAGAAGAAACCAAAAAAAAAAAAGAAAGATTTTTCTTATCTACGGTACAGTTGCGACAAAACGTCAATTGTTGCCGTCGCAACAGCTATGTGTGTGCGTGTGTGTGGGAGCTTTTGTGTGGTCGCAGGTGCGGCAGTCAAAGGACTGGTGGCGCCATCTTTGGGTCGAACGCATTCAGCTTGTTAAGCGTTTATTTTTTGTATGGTCGAACTAGTTTTCAAGAGAATTTATCTTTACCATTTACTTACAAACTAACATACATATGTATGTATATATATCATGATGCTCTTGGAAACTAATCTCACGAAAATATAAGAATCTGTTTCTACATACATTTACAGATGTAAGTAAGCTGAGCTTATGCTAAAACTAGCATGCATCTGACCTCGAGACAGATAAACATGCGATTTTATAATTTGAAAGAGATTAAATTCAACAATCTTATGCAAATTAGATCTGGGCTTTACTTAATTAATGTAGATAAGATTGTTCTTCTAATTGTAATAATCACGCATGTAGCGACCATTAGCGTCTCGAAAAGGCACATCGACTTGCAAATGCTCTAGCTAAGTTAAGCTTCCTATCTGTTGCTATTCAAATATTTATATAATTACTGAGCTGCTCGAATATGAAAGTGTTGTCACATATTTTTTTTTTTAATTACCATTTATTATTTATTTGTTGTTTATTTGCATTCCTTAATGAGATACTACATGTATTACAATTATTTGTTTTGTATAACGTTACAAATTGCATGCGAGCGCAGCGTGACCTGCCGTGGAGTGTGTATTGAAATGACAGCTGTGTTGCCAGCTGGCTGCGTTGATTGGCAGCGGCAGGGCTGCCAGATCGATCAGCCGCGTTGGCTTGCGCGTATTTCATTTTCCATTCACACTCACCCAATGGACAGCAACAAGTTTGGCAAGCTGCAGCAGCAATTTCTCTGCTGTTATCCCGTCAATAAGATGGCCTGGTCGGTAAGTAGTCGTGGGTTATTTGTAATTTCAAATTGTTGCCACTTGCTTGCCGTGCAGACGCTGGAGCTGCCGCTGGAACTGGAGGCGCAACGTGCTCTGATCGCTGCCACCTGTGGGCATCCGTTGAATCAGCGGTACCCGGTGCGTCGTAGCTATCAGGAGGCATTTGTGAAGCGCCTGATGCACCTGCTCAAGGATCACGAGGAGCTGCACGACGACATCTACGACAGCCTGTGCGGTCAGCTAGCCAAGGCAACCATAGACGCCTCCACAGCTGCGGCTGCATCCCAATATGCCTACAAGCACTACCTGCTGCAGCCGGACAAGTATATCACGCTGCGTGAATCCACAAGCTTTGTCAGCGAGGGCACCACCGGCCTGTGCACCTGGGAGGCTGCTTTGGTTCTGGCCGACTATCTTCTGGCGCATCCCAGCCTGCTGCAGGGCAAAAATGTTTTGGAACTTGGCGCTGGTGCTGGCCTGCTTGGTATTCTGCTCAAGCAGCCGGCCCTGCAGCTGCCCGTAGGCCAGGTGCTCATCACCGATGGCAGCGCCGCCTGCGTACAGCTCATGCGCGAAAACATTGCGTTAAATTTTGATTCTGATCCAAGCGATGCGGCGACACCGCAATGCGCACAGTTGCGCTGGCATGAGATCAGCCAGTTTCCCTGGTCGGAATATGCTGCACCCGATCTGCTGCTGGCCGCCGATGTCATCTACGATGATACCCAATTCTCGGCGCTGCTCGAGGCACTCGACGCCATCTACGAGCTGCGCGGCAATCGCTGCGAAATGCTCCTGGCCAGCACAGTGCGCAATGTGGATACCGTGCACGAGTTCATGCAGCAGCTGGGTGAGTTCAACGGGCAGGACGACTCGAACCAACTGCCTGGCTTAAGGCTCGGTTCGTGAAGTCGCATTTAAGCATGCAGCAAGCCACGTTTTGCCTTAAACCTTGGCTTGCCAGCGATTGCCAAAATTCGAATGAAATTATTTAATTTTCTATTTAAATTTGCCCGTTCTACTGGAAAATATTGCTAGCCATAAATATGGTATTTACGTAGAGCAGTTTCGGGCTACATTTGAATTCTACTCAAAATTGTTTACGAAATCCGAATTATTTATGCTTTAGGGCTAAGTCTCCCTAAACGGGTTTTTCAGTTTAAGCCAAACCATCTTTGAATGAGATAGTTCTGTTTGGCTTTCAGCTCGACCAACTTTGTACCGATTGGTTTGGTTTAAGGTTCGGTTCATAAGAATTCGAATTACTTATTCGGGGATATATATCGATATATAAGTATAGATTTATTGTATAAATCAAAAAGTGCCATGTGCTAAAGCATTAATTATTAATGTGTTATATATAGTTCTTGTACTCTGATATCCTGAGAAAACTTAACAATTGTTTTGGTGCTTTTAACATATAGGACAAGTATATTATATAGTATAGAAATTTCTCTCTCTATATATATATATATAGTATACATTATCAATCTTAACATATAAGCTCTATATATAGATGATCTTTAAGGACTGTGATTGTATGAGCACAGGCAAGTGTATTGAGTTTTTGGTCCCGTGTCAGGACATTTCTGCCCATATTTAGAAACAGTTTAGCTGCTGACAAACTAATGAGTGTGTTTGTATCTTTATTTGCAGAGCAACATCAATACCAGGTAACGCCCTGTGCGAATGTCTCGGCCTGTGCCAGCCATTTCTGTCGGGATCACACGGCCGCCGTGCAGATTGTGTGCATTAAACGTTAGAACTAGCTTTTTAATTAAACTAAACGAAAACAACAACAAAAATGAAATACCAGAAAACAACAACAACGACATTAAGAACAAGAACAAGAACAATGTGAACATGTGTGAGCAACTGCATCATTGATTGATGGTCGGTATGGTGCCATCGTTAAGCCAGCGCACATTCAGCTGCTCGATCTGATGCTTCATGAAGATAATGCCATAGACCTCGTGCTGTATATCCAACAATTTGCTGCGATGCGTGCGCGGCACCTTCATGCCAACGACCAGCGCAAGCAGAGACGTTATAATCATGTATACAAATCCCTGGGCGATCAGCGTGCTCTCATCCTTGGCATAGAAATACGAATTATTCACATTGGCCACAAAATAGTAGTACACGATGCTGGTGCTGACCAATTTGAGTGTGTAGGAGACAAAGATGATGCATTCGGTGAAACGCAGATGCGTTACCTCCAGCAGCACAATCTGCAGACTGGAATAACCCATGCCGAAGAGGACCAGGAGCAGCCAGAAAGTCACCTTCGAGCTGGTCGCACCGTATATAATCATTGCCAGCACCGTGAGCAGCAGCAGCAGCACTTGCGTGGTCACAAAGTGCACCTTGGCTGAGTAGAAGCACAGGCAAACGATGGCCAGAACGCTGCCAGCGAATATGACCCAGAACATGGAGTCGATGTGGGCCAATTCATCCAGACGCATCGCATCGTTGAGGGCAAACCAAAAGACCAGATAGATGAAGAGCGCATATTGGATGGCCTCCACGAAGAGCAGCAGCAGCGTCACATGCCACTGTTGATTCTTGATGACATAGAAGAACTGCAGCCGCTTGATGACATCCGCGCGTGACTCAAAGATGCTGCCGTTCGCATTCGCAATCCTCAGATCGTTGTCCATGCTGTTGGTCATGTCCACCGTGCCCAGCACATGCAGCGCCTTCAGACCAATTAGAACGGCCAGCATGACAATCGCTATGGATAGATAGGTGGCAGCAAAGTTCACATAGATGCCATCGATCAGTTGCTCCGTGGTAGCCTGCTGGCCGGCATACTGCTCCAGATTCTTTACATATGTGCCGCCAATTAGGCTCACCGCAGACGCAATGCCCAGCAGATAGCAGCTACAGCAGCCGGATATCATTAAGGACCGACTGCTCTTCGAGCTGATGGTGTGCAGGAATCCGTAGCCAGCCACAAAGGTCAAGCTGTGCGCCACATATGACATATAGGCGCCCACGTGATCTGTGATTAAACCAAAATTAATATCAGAGATTGTCAGACAGTTCAGTTGAATGTGGGAGAATTCAAGATATCGTATAAATCCCAATTTTTAAAGTACCTTTCTTGTTGCCTCCAATCGGAACTCAGGTAAAGCCCATATCATAGTTAGACCTTATATGCCTATGCTCTCTATATATTTCCCTTGCTCTAGGTAATAGGGACCAGCTGGTAAATAGTTGCATATAGTCTCTCTGATCTAGTAGTTCAGTTTGATACGATTCTTCGGGTTTCTGCCGAGCTGTACTCTTTCATACAAAAATTGTAATACTCGCCAGATATTTTCTATACAGCTATATGATATAGTCCAAGGCATTGGCTCATAATTATGGTGAAGCCCTTAATAATATGATATGCTAGTTGGTCGATGCGGTCGATTTCGACAGACAGACGATGGACAGACGGACATGGCTATATTGAACCTTCAAGACGTATCCCTTTATACTATTGTATACAATATAGGCACAACTAGCTGATAATCCGGGCAACAGGCGCAGGCTTGTGGATGATAACCTTTGACTAAGACTAAGCAAAGGGAACGCGTCTTCGTGGGCTGTGTACTCACCAAAGCCATCGGCAAAATAGAAACAACTGGAGATTACATTGAATACGCCCGCCGCCAGCAGTATGAATGGCTGCCAGTAGAGAATGCAGTGCTTGATATACTTCAACGCCAGCAGGCCGAGGGCGGTGAGGAGCGACAGGCAGGCGCCCAAAATGAGTGGTCCATAGTCATTGAGGTTCGACTCCAGATTGCGCTCGGCCACAAAGGAGCAGATCGTGTAACCAAAGATGAGGCCGCAGGGCAGAAAGCATAAGCACACTGCATATATAAAACGGATTTAGAGATTTAAATATTATTGTTTATATAATGAGACATGGGCTCCATTTGGCGGGGGCCACTTACCCACATAGCTGGGCGCGTATTTGAAAAACTTGTGCACACATGTGCTCCATAAATTCGACATTTTCGTTAAACTGTTTGAAATTCGTGTCGTGACTAATGCATAATTTTTGGTTTTATTCAAATTTAAATTGAATTGAATATTCCGCGAGAGGATCTTGGGCAGCAAATGCCAGCGCGGAGAGGTTCGAAATGCGACTGAGAATTGTTCTTGTCAAATCATGCGCAGACTTGATTAGATAAAGCCCACAACAAGGCGGCACCTGCATGATGACTAATCCCGGCCAAGTGAAACAGGGCCCCAGCCATGTGTGCGGATAAACGGATGCCCACAGCAGCTGATAAGATGGCGGCAGTTGGCGCGTTGGCACATTCAAATTCGTGACCATCGATTTACCGCCCCTTAAGAGACACATATATACGTGAAGCTTTGCTGCTGATAATACACCTAATCTTTTCGCTCCGGCTCTGATAATGCCTCACCGTTAGCCCCGGCACAATAAAAGCTCCCCCGGGAGCGTGCAAAGTGTGCGCTACTTAAGTGGAACAAACGTGTGCCCGTCACTTTCCATCTGTCTCTCTGCCCAGGTAAACAGGCGGGCGGCTGGTTTATCAGTTTGTTTACTTTTGAGCACAGTTTGGCCAAGGGTTGAGAGCTTGTGAGAGCAGCGGCACAAGCCACAAGATTGCCTCGACTTCAAGCGACTCTCACATTTTATTGACAGTTATTCAGAAACTTGGCTGTTCTTTTAGGTTGCCAAACGATTATCTCACAGCACAATTGAGTTTGAGCATATAGTTAGAACTATATAGAAATGCTTGCAACTATCGCCGAGGCGACACGCTTTGGTAAAAGCGCATACGTAACTTGCTTTAAATAAAATAAATGGCGATGCATTAGCTACAAGCATTTGTGACGTCATGCGCAGCGGGAGCGTGCAGAAAGAGTTGCCACCTTTTTGGGGAGCCGCTCGCATATTCGCTGTTGCGTAAGAGTAAAAACATGCACAAGCCACACATATAGACAGAGATGGGGTTAGAGAGACAGAGAGTGAGAGTGAGAGAGAAAAAGAGCGCTCGCGTTTGCGCTTCTGACCCCAGAGGACGACCCAGTAACAGGGACTTTTGTTTCCTTTGCCCGCCTACTATCACTTCCGGATTTTTGCTGCAACGACAACAACAGGCGACAAATTCAGCGCAGCAATTCTGCATTCGTAGTCGCAGCTGGCGCTGAAGTTGCCAGAAAATCTAAAGCCAAGAATGGTCAACGAGCTGTTGTAGACTAGCCCCAACAGCCGACCGGCTGGAGCTATTTTTATCCTAACTGTCTGCCAAAATCATGGAAAGGACAGCGGCACAACGTGGCTAACTGCGTGCGCCTGTGTGCGTGTGTGTGTGTGTGTGTGTGAATTGGCGTGCTAGTGTTAAGCGCAATGTATGTGAGCATCTGGTGCCACAATCTGAATTTGAGCAGCCGCAGCCTGGCCATTGCCCTGGTGGTCTGTGTGACGCTCGTCTACTTCTCGTACAGCTTCAATGCCTGCCTTTTTGCCAGCATCAGTCGCTCCTTGCAGCAGGTGAGCTACCCGTAAATGCAATCCCAACCGCTTGGATTCTCACTATCCAACCGCACACAGAGCAACCTACGCAATTTGCTGACGCTGCAGCGGCGCAACGTTAGCAGCGAGCCCGTCAAGGATGCTGGTACTGCTCCGGAGGTCACCTCCAGCACGGCTATAATGTCCAATGGCACCGCCAGTGCGGCCAGCATTGGCAATGGCATTGCCAGCGTCGACGGCGCGCCCAAGTATCAAATGTTGCGCCAGCAGGGATTGCGGCCCTCACGCCATTTGCCCGACACGCTCATCATTGGCGTTAAGAAGAGCGGCACCCGGGCGCTGCTCGAGTTTATACGCCTGCATCCGGATGTGCGTGCCGCCGGCTCTGAGGTGCACTTCTTCGATAGGCATTATCAGCGCGGCCTGCGCTGGTATCGCCATCATATGCCCTACACCATCGAGGGCCAGATCACCATGGAGAAGACGCCCAGCTATTTTGTCACAAAGGAGGTGCCGCAGCGCGTATATCACATGAACCCGGCCACAAAGTGAGTAGAAACCACATTCTTAATAATTCCAATTTCATCCTTTAAACTTTAAATATATGTATGGAAGTATATATAAAATGAGGGTTAGGCTCGACATCATAGAACTTCAACTTTACTTTAGATAAAAACAGTTTTCTTTTCTAGTTTTATACGATTTTCATAAGCAGAAGCAGAATCCATTGAAAGTGGGTCAAAATATTGAAAATAATAAATTAGCTTTCTGCAAGATCCCCATAAAGTATATATTCTTGCACAGCATCAATAGCCGAGCGTATCTAGCCATGCCTGTCCGTCCGTTTGTACGAACGCGTCGATCTCAGAGAACCTGAAAGAACGAGATATTTAAAGTTTTGAACGTAGATCCTGTTTCCCGCGTAGTATCGAGAACTTGTTTCTTTTTCATGATATCGAATTATCGATTGGTATTGGTATTAACCAATATCGAAATCTTGTCTTTTAAGCTTATACTGCGGTTTTTTAGAGCTAAATTGATTAGTGGATAAGTGATATTTTACCCAATTCCAAAATATATATCTTTTTGTATACCTTAAAAATTTAAATTCCCCAAAAAATGTAAAGAAAAAAAACATGTCATTTCATAAGTGTACTATTTAACATTGGTATTTACACCCATTTGGATGCCACATATTTATGCCCTGCAAATTGCATTAAGATCGGACGAAGCGAAGTCAATCACGTGTAAGGCAAAGGGAGGACGTGCGTGTGTGTGTGGAAGGAGCCAGAATGCTCGTCACGGGATTTTCTTAGTCGGGCACTCCCCACTAGAGGACTTCTATTTGTTGGAATATATCATTCTAGAATCAGAATCCAATTATATATACTTCGCACAGTTCCAGTCAGTACAGATTTCTATATAGGAATTTTCATTTATGTTTCCTCTGTTGTCCTTGAATTTTCATAACTTTTCACATGAGGATTGGTACCATTATCATCAAGTTGGAGCGATCTTCAGATTCATTTTATGTGTCTTTTCTTCTCTGGACTCCATCTCTTAGACTGCTGATTGTGGTGCGAGATCCGGTGACGCGCGCCATCTCGGACTATACGCAGGCGGCTAGCAAGAAGGCGGACATGAAACGATTCGAGCAGCTGGCCTTTGTTAATGGCAGCTATTCTGTGGTGGACACCAACTGGGGCCCTGTCAAGATTGGTGTCTATGCGCGCTATCTGGAGCACTGGATATTGTACTTTCCGCTTTCGCAGCTGCTCTTCATAAGCGGCGAGCGCTTGATTATGGACCCGGCCTATGAGATTGGACGTGTACAGGACTTTTTGGGTCTGAAGCGTGTGGTCACCGAAAAGCATTTCTATTTTAATGCCACCAAGGGATTCCCCTGTCTATTCAAATCTGAGGCACGCTCCACGCCCCATTGTTTGGGCAAGACAAAGGGACGCAATCATCCGCATATCGATGCCAATGCGATTGAGCGACTCAGAGAGTTCTACAGGCCGTTCAATAATAAGTTTTATCAACTGACTGGCATTAATTTTGCCTGGCCCTAAAGCTTAATATTAGAGTGAGTGAGAGAAAGAGGCACAGGAGAGAGAGAGGGAGAGAGATAGAGATGTTGTTGCAGCGGAATTTAGCAACAGACTGATATTGTTGATTGCATTTTTTATACATACCATTGTACTTATACATAGAAGATATATATACAAACATATATGGTATTTGCTATCGATGTGATGCAATTGCTGTATGTTTAAAAGATACGCTACGTAATATTGCTCAATTATTGAAAACAATATGATAACAAAATAATAAACGGTTCCTTCTCTCAATACACAACGCACAGACACACAAAAACTACTATATGTAATGCCTAAAAGAAAAATATATATAAACGCATAGAACAAGTAGAGCTTACTACGTATTCCTACAGAGTATGAGCAAGAAGATAAACAGAGAGCTACGCATCCAGATCCTAAATCAATTACTTAAAAGACACTATACAAAAAGGTACTGATAGCATGCGATTAGGCACACGCGCGCACACACACACTCTATATAAAATTCATATGCAATTTATGCATACCTACATATATATATATATATATATATATATATATATATATATATATATATATATCTACATAGCTCAACATCTAAATTGCATGTTACAAAATGGCCTAGCTAAAAACTTCAATTATTACAATTTAATAAAATGATTTCATAAATATGGCTAACAAGTGCTTTTATACTCAAAGTTTGATAACCGAATATACAGTTCGATTTGGAACGGTATTGCAGATCTCTTAGAATATTTTCTGAGTTTGGTTTAGATATATTAAAGAACAGATAAGTTTGTAATACTATAAACATATTTTCCGACAGACTCTCTTTAAGAGCTATGTGATAAAGTGGTTCGGTTTTGATAAGCTCCTAAATGCGCCAAGTTTGTAGAACATGTATTGAAAAACAAAAGAGCTTAGCATACAGAACATATAATATCTATATGATATAGTTGTCAGATTCAGCCAATTCCGATAAATGTGGCGCCTGCCGAGACACTAGTACAGAAACAGCTAGATGGGCAGACGGACACGGCTATATTCACTCTGCTGTAATCTTTGGGAAGATATGTTACATTGTATTGTTGTCAAAGTAAAATCTACAACTAATTGAGGCGTAGCTTGTCTAAAAACCGGCCACACAGCCTATTTTGCGATAGTCCGAATTGATGGAAATGCTGTCGTTATTTTGGGCAATGCCACAAATAACTGAGCCACGATTTCGATAGCGTTCGCACTGATGTCCTTTGGCCTGGAGGCTGTCGACATGTGCTTGGAGCATGCCGTATTCGTACTGTATCACATTGGGCTGCATCTGATGATGGAATCTGTTGGCATCGATGGCTTTTTTGATGTTCGCCTGCTGCCAAAGCATACGAACCAGCAGCGGGACAAGAGCCGATATGATTTTAGTGCCACCAGCCGCGCCCACCACCAGCCGTACTTGACCGGTGGAGCGCTCCGTAACAATGACTGGACACATTGAGGACATGGGCCTGGCACCGCCAGCTATCATATTCCTGCCATCCACATAGGGCAGATCGAAATAGTTCTTCAGATGTTTCACGGAGAAGTCGGACATGGCATTATTGAACAGTACGCCAGTGCGTTTACCCATGCGTCCACTGCCAAAACTGCAAGCAATTGATGAGCATGATATCGGCCAGAAATTCAAGAGCTTCGCACTTACTAAAAGTTTAAGGAACTGGTCACTGAAACCGCATCATTATTGTGCAGCACCGAAATATGCGATGTGCCATGCTCATTACGCGATTGTATATCCGACAATGCTCCATAGTGCTCTGAGCTGTTGTACGTTTTAGTATCATCAATCAGTTTGGCGATGCTGGCGGCAAACGTTGGACTTGTCAGCTTGGCCAGTAACTGTGTGCAAAAGGAGTATGACAATAGCAAAGAGTTAATAAAATGACAAAAATAGATATATGGATATAAACACAATACAATTTTAAACAAAAGCAGAATCCATTTTGCCCTTCAAATTGGCCTAAGACAGGAATGCATAGATGCTTGCTGGGAATCCGAGAAGCTTTGCATCTGCCTCTGAAAAAGGCACGTTTCTTGAGCCGGCCGAGGCCGAGTTAGCATATATTTTATAAATGACAACAATTTGATGACACACATATTTTGCATAAAAACTTTAAAAGGTCATGAAAACAACCGAGACAGATAGATAATATTCTGTGTAAGAGAAAGAGAAATGGGAGTGTACGCTTATGTGTGTGAGAGAAAAAGATGGTTAACCTCTTCATTTGCTCCATCCTCCAGTTGCCAACGCTGAACAAAACCAAATTTCAAAGCCTCAACTATGCGATGGATTTCCAAGGGACCCAAATCTCGTGCTGCTGCGAAGTCCGCTCGATATGTATGCAGTATGTTCATTATAAGGCCAAGGATGTGTCCACTGCCTGGCGGTGGCGTCAAATGCATATCATACTCATCTAACGGTACAACTATAGAATCCTTAAGTTCAGCCTGTGCGTTCGTCAAATCGGCTATGGTTATGCCGCTGCCAATATCTCGCATATCACAGTGAAGCTTTCTCAGCAGCGATCCTTTGTAGAAGCTGCGCGGCCCTTTTAAGGCAATATGTTCATAAGTGTCGCACAGCTGCTTGGGCGGCTGTATATAAGTGCCAATTGGCCAGAAGTCACCCGTCATGGGATCGACAAACATTTGGCGCAGTAGTCCATCATTTTTGATCATATATCCATTCAGTATGAGCGCATCGTATTGATGTTTATAAAGCTGATATCCGGCGAGGCACAGCGAGATCGTCGGTATAACCAAATCCTTCCAGGGCAGTTTGCCGTAACGCTCATGGGCCAACGCATAGCCCAGCAGCTCGGTGGGCACAGCGATTGACCAGGCGGACTTCTGCAACTGTTGTTCGCTCTCAAAGACTGTAAAATTCTCGGGCGCGAGAGAGCGTGGTGCAATCTCCCGGCTGAGTATAGTGTATGCCCGTCGCTCGTTGTGCATATAAATGTTCATGATCATGCCGCCACCCAGTCCCATGCTCTGCATCCCAGTGAAGCCATTGCAGATCAGTGCGGTCAGCGCAGCATCTACCGCACTGCCTCCACGAGCCAGTGTTTCCCTATGAGAAGAGTACAGAAATACTTGCTTACTAATGGAATTTATTAGCGCATACCTGGCTATGAGACTGCAAGGCGTGTTGTCCGTGCATATGCCTGTCTGCTTGAATTGGTGCAGCGGCGAACTGGAGGGCGGCAATGGCTCCTCGGGATTTGGCGGAGCTCTCGGTGCATTCTGTTTGCCTAGAAAATCCATTGTTTAGTTTTACCAAATACCCTTCATACGGCTTACACCTACCACGCTTTGCCGCAGGACTATGCAAGTATATGGCAATTAGCACACAAATCAGTGCAAAAATAGACGAGTACCAACTACAAATCCATTGCAAATGCATAACTGTTTGATCTAATATTCATATTGTCTTTTTTCAATTCGCCTTTGCATGCCTCTCGCAAAATGTAAACAAACTTTTGCAGCAATCGATAAGCTGGCATATCGATATATGCCACAAGCATGTGCGATACTGCGAAGGATACTATCGATGCTATTGCCGATATTTTTTTAAATTCAAAAATCAAAAGATTTTTAGCAAATATTTACAATTATGTAAATGTTGATGTATTCATTTATTTTTTTAAATATTTTTTGCTTGTGCCAAAAAATATAGAAAATGTCCTTCAGCCACTGGACTAAATTATTCCTATACGATATTTGTTAATTATTTAAACGACAAACAAACACAATTTGTTAATTCTTAAACATTTATGTATAATTTTCAAAGTAGCCGAGAAGCTGTTAACATATGCAGCTTGTCAGCAATGTGTTAATATGGATACATATATGTTTTAAGTGGGTATGCTTATTTTTCTTTATAGTATGTTGAACTTTAATATGCTCTTTGGCCTGGGTTGCAACCCTAAAAGTAACAGAAAAATCCTGCTTGCTGACCCCGTGACCCGTTCGGGCAAAGCATCTACATATATATGTAATTGAAGTCGTGACGATGTTAAATGCTGTCTGTTTGTGGCAAATTTAATAAATAAAAGTTATGGCACCTTTGTAATTGGATTTTCTTTGGTCACCAACACTGTTGATTCCCATACAACTATTGTAATTGATTTGTGCATCCGCTTTGCAGCACTGCAAATCTGCAAATATGCACATGTATGTGTGTGCACACATACAAACAATCAGCATGAACATGAATGAAAATTTAAAAGCCATAAATCTTGCACTTTTATATCACACTACGCAGCGTGGCAATCAAATTAACTGAACAGAACAGAACAGAACTGAGAAACAGGAAGACGCGGTCCGGTTCGTTGATCGTTGGGCACATCTGGGATCGGAATGGATGAATGGATATCTGCGTGTGTGCATGTGTCATGTGTGTGTGTGTGTGTGTGTGTGTGTGAAAATCGGAATTGGATGGCATCTCGTCTGCCTGCAACATGGCTAACTAATTCCAGCACGCGTCTCAAACTACTCGCATGTTGTATGACGAAATGTACACGCCAAATGCCTCTATCATGGCACCTGTCAGACGTCAGCGGCGGCTTAACAGCTTAAATGACTCAACCAACGATGCCGATGCCGATGCCGAGCTGTTCAGTTGTGCATGACGAGGGGGGTATTTGGTATGAGGGAGGCAGGCGGGTATCGGCTGCTGCTGCTCCAGATTGTCAGCCGCGTCAACACCTTGGCAGCGACAACAACTCAACTCAACATAATTTGCCTCAAGTATTTGTATGTGATGCAGTATTTATTTTTAATAACACTCTAAAACAAAATGTCGTACGAGTATGTTTCTTAAAAAAATTGCAATACGAAGGGAACAGACTTCTATGCGATTTTCATAGGTGTGCTCAACGAATTTCTTAAAGGTATTTTTCGGCCAATTATTTTTTTTTTTTTTTATTATTTTAATTGCCTACACGATCAGCGAGAGTCAATTTTGAATATCTTTTCTCCTGTCACTTAAATACAGAACGCCTTGCTATGCGATTCTCATGAATATATTTGCTGCTTTCAATTGTGGCTGAAGTGTTCTATTAACCAAGTGTTTCATCTACCGCAGAAACTCTTTATCTAGAGCTATCTTGTTTGTGTTTTTTGGTGTTTTGTGTTGCACAGTGTTATCATCAGCGTTGACAATGTTGTTGCTGATGTGCGGACGGCAGGTGCAAACAGGCGCATTGCTAGAATTGCCTTTTAATTGTCTCTGGTTGCTTTGATGTTTGCTGAGCCCGTGGCATAAAAAAGTTGATGCAGTTAATCTGGCCAGGCTTAGCGGGCGCTTTTCAGCCGACTGTCATCGATTGGATCTCGATGCAGGCACGCTCAGCGCACGGCACACGACACTCACAAAAGTGTTTCCAAAAAAAAAAAAAAAAAAAAATTGAGTGAAGAGAAGTGCAAGCCATGTATGCGTGCTCTAAGTGGAGTGGGCACGGACTGGGATCGGGGTGGGGTTGTTGCTGTTGCCGTGGCAAGTGAAAACATTTTGTTTTTCGCGTAGATCCCGATCCCAATGGCAACGGCTGCCGCTGACATGTTGTTAAGTTTTATTTTTAAGGGACGGGCCCACCATTCCACAACAAATGCGACGCATTTGCTGCTGTTGTTGTTGTTGTTGTTCTCTCGTATTTATAGACCTGGCCCTGAGGCCGTTTTCACAGTTGGCTTCATTCAGTGCGCCCGCGGCTCACGTCCCTGATCTTTTGCATGTGCTGACGCCCCTTCGTTTGTTTCCATTTAATGTGCCAGCTCTTAGTTGGAATAGATGTCTGCAGCATACTTGCCATCCACTTGTACAACATATTTTAATTTAATTGCGTTTAATTTGAAACTAACAGACACTTCGCCCCGCATACATATAGCCATTGTCTGGGCATTGATGTTTTGCTGATTTGTAAAGTTCAACAGTTCTAGAAAAACATTTCACAATGTTTTGCTTGTCCCTCAAGCTTCGCTGGCGGCATTCACTTCTTCGGAGCATAGTACAACTATTAAACTGTACGATTCTCTACTTTAGAAAAGATTTACTAAATCTGTACATTATTAATGTTTATTACAGATCTTAAGCTTCCAATACTTGAGTGTTTTACTATGTATTCAGTCCTCGGTCTTGTTTGCCTTTGCATCCATGTATAATGAATTGTTGGAAATATCCTTAGTTAATAAGACTTTTCTAAAAACATTTGCTTATTCAAATTTAGTTACAAACCCTATTTTAAATCGTTTCTGGAAGTATTTTTGCAATAAGATTTTGGGCTGACTTGTTTTGACCGTCAAAATTCATGCCAAAGAGAATTTTCCTCTGGAAGGCATATAAAAAATGTACTGTACTATCTTAAATTTATACAATATTTTAATTGTACATTTTTTAAACATAATCTTAGCCTTGTTTCATTTTGGAAGGCCATTTGGCTCATGGTTTCAGTTCATAAGGATTGCATCAAATTTTCTGCATATTGTTCTCTCATGTCATATCATATCTGAATCTTAGTCAGTTCAATAATTTTTTTGATATTTTTTTAAAGAATATTATCAAGTTTTCAGACGAATCTTTACATAAATCGTAGTTCTCCTCATCTAGTTACCATTGGATTTGTGGCCAAGATTTCTTTAGGGCTTTCTGTTAGTCTGGCTGTGGAATTCAGTAGTTTTTGTCAGCTCGTAAGTGAAACAGCCCCGGGAAACAAAAAAAAAAGCGAAAAGTTTATTCAAAATTTCTTTAAATATTAAATATATATATTCTTTGACTATTTGTTTGGACGATCTGAGCCGTAGCAAATAATGCTTCGGCTTAGATCGGGATTGCGCTTGCTGGAGGCATCGGTGCGTAATCATATAACCAGGACATATGGGCTTGCATCGGCGATGCCCATCGTTGAGGCGGTAAATGATGATGTGGATGTGGTTTACTGCAAGGACGAGGATGCACGGAGGGACAAGCCGGTGAAGCCCGCGAAAGCTGCGAAGGCTGCGTCGAATGGCGACAAACAGGGCGGTAAGCCACCTGCCAAGCAGCCCAACAAACCGAATGGTGGCAAGGAGGTGGCCGCCAAAAAGGGCGCAGCGGAAAAGGCAAAGCCGAAGCCCAAGCCGAAGGAGGAACGCATGAAAACCTTTGAAATATATCGCTGGAAGCCCGGCGATGAGCCCAAAATGCAGAAATACAAGCTGGACTTGAACAAGTGCGGCGCCATGGTACTGGATGCCCTGATCAAGATCAAAAACGAAATGGACGCAACGCTCACGTTTCGCCGTTCCTGCCGTGAGGGCATCTGCGGCTCCTGTGCCATGAACATCGATGGCATCAACACGCTGGCCTGCATCCAGGCCATTGACACGAATGTGGGCAGGCCGTGCAAGATCTATCCGCTGCCGCATCTGTATGTGAAGCGTGATCTGGTGCCGGATATGTCGCAGTTTTACGATCAGTATCGCTCCATCGAGCCCTGGCTGCAGCGCAAGGACTTGAACAGGGAAATGGGCAAGGCGCAGTACCTGCAATCGTTGGAAGATCGCAATCGTCTGGACGGGCTGTACGAGTGCATATTGTGCGCCTGCTGCCAGACCGCGTGCCCATCGTACTGGTGGAATAGCGAAAAGTATTTGGGTCCGGCTGTGCTGATGCAAGCATATCGCTGGGTAATCGATTCCCGCGACGAGGCCACCGAGCATCGTCTGTGCCAGCTGATGGATCCGTGGAAGCTCTATCGCTGTCACACCATACTCAACTGCACCAATACGTGCCCCAAGAACTTGAATCCGGCCATGGCCATTATGCAGTTGAAACAATTGCTGGCTGGCATGAAGAACAAACCAAAACCAAAGCTCCAGACCGATCTATTGTTCCAGAATCAAATGTAGTGCTTGCAAAATTTTTAATATTGATATCCTTTTTATTATTTTGATATTCACTCTTCGAATATCTTTTCGCACACGCACTAACGCAATGGGGGATGCGTCTTTAATTGGACATATAACGCCTCAGGGACTTGTTGCGACTAATCACATTCGTATGCAACACACTTCATACAAAACCCAAATATGACACGCCCAACTGATCTGTATACAAATGATACTCAACTCTTTAACAATCATATCCTCACCATATATGAATATGTATAACAACAACAAAATGTACAATAACTATGCATATTTGACAAATAGCAAGAGCTCTTCGCAGATCGAAAGGGTTCATTGGCTAAACGTGATCAAAAAGTTGTACTGTTTAATTTCATAATGTACATGATGATAAAACTGAATAATAATAAAAGTAATAACAATAACGATTTTAATTAATAATTGCCCTTTCTACTGAAAATATTGCACACTGCAAACATTTTCATATCGAATTTTCGGGCTAAATTAAGCACTTTTCAAAATTGGGCCGTAACAAATATTGTTAGCAGGCCAATTTCTTCAAAGACCATCAAATCATGTACATTTCCTAGTATTTTCTGTATAATAATCAGTTATATAATTGAGAATACCCTTTTTTTTTATTAATATTTTAAAAACAGCCAAAAATGGCTTCTACCAAAAAAGGTGAGGAAAATATATAATTCCTTGCTTAAGGTCTGCTTGATAAAATTTTCTGTGGAACCAACGTCTTTTTTTCGCTTGGCTTGGTTTAACTAAAAAATCGTTTCAGAAAGGCCTCGACGGAGGCATTGATTTATTTTCTAAAGCATTTTTGGCTAAATGTCCCATTAAGGGCACTTGAAGAATAATAAAATGATCTATATTATATGTGAACCAAAAGCTGGGTTCGAGCATTGAACATCGTGTTCACGAACTAAACCTAATGACACACAATTTGATTTGAGCCGTAAACGAAGCTCCCAGGACTTGCAGACCCTTAAATAATACTAAGGAATGCTTTGAACAATAACAGGAAAACATATTGAATTTTAGCTTAAAAGCGACTTCCCAGAAATGTTCACTATTCTGAACAAAAAGCATTTCCAAATATTAAATTTCTAAGTAATTCTATAGAATATAAGGGAAATTATTTGGAAAAGCTAGCGTATTGCGTGCCACGCAGAAATGCTCGGAACAGGATATTTGTTAAGCTCAAAAGCCCAATGAATGAAGGCGAATGAGCTGTTCAGTTGAAATGACTCATTCAGCTAATATTTTATTTTATTTTTCTTAAATTATACTCTCGCTCCGCAGATTCTATTTACGCAGCAGCAATAATTAAGCGATACACACACGCAAATATATATATAAAATATTGAATATATACGCTCAATAATTTTCCACAAATGCGCTCAATAAGTGTTTTCAATCAAATAGATTCATTCATTGCGAAGCTTCGTTAGATGTTTCATGAATCTATGTGAGTATGTACTAAAGTTGATTTATTTGTGAATCATTTCATGGGTTGATCTTGAATTCGTGTTGCGGAACTTGAATGTTCGCGTCACAGTTGACCAAGTTTGTTGCTGCAGCTTGCTAAAAGCTTTCATTCGCCCTCTCGCTCCCTCGCTCCCTCTCTTTCTCTCTCTCTCTCTCTCTCTCTCTCTATCTCTATCTCACAGATGAGATGCTCTCTCCCTCTCATGAGCAAAATAACTACATTTCTAAAAAATACTTGCACAACAAATATTTGCATATGCCAAAGTGGGTGGCTCTCATGTGCATGTGGGCGATTGTATATATATATAAATATATATTTGTGCACATATATCTGCCCACATAGATATATGACTAGGGCCCCGTAAGCGTCACCACGTGCAGCGGCATACCGACAAAATCAAATCTGAGCGGCAACACGACGGCGAAAAAGCTCAACGTGTTCTACGTCACCGACTCGGGCCGGAGGTGGCCCGAACGGAAGCTTTTGGACGCCTACAAAAACCAACCCCAAAGCGAAAGCCGCTTTGCAAATCAGTCGCAAAAAGTACGTCGCCAGAACGCAAAAAAATAAGCGAGAACTGGGCGCTGCAAACCAAAAAGAATTCAACAAAATATATCAAAAAAATCGAAGAAAACAATTTGAAATAAAAACAATAACAAATTAATTGAGAGATCTCTCAAATTAAGTCTTTAAACCAAACAGCAGCTGCATACATATATTTTTATATATATACATTTATATATATTAAATATATATATATATAAAATTCTAGACGTGTTTTTTGTAAAGGTGCGTTCAACTAAATTTGGGAAACTTTATATCCCCATTTTATTTATTTTTTTCAAGTGTGTGCCCAAAATTTCAACTGAGATTTGTTGCCATTCAAAACAAGTGCAAGACACTTCTCTTTTTTTTTTTTTTGTTTTGGCACAGCGTCTATTCTAGCTGTTGCTGCTGTTGTTGTCGTTATTGTTGTGTTTACTGTAGTTAACAATTATCATCTATTATTTTGCATTTACTCAACACCTGAACACAAACAAACAGGAAGGTAGCCACAGTAACGCGAAGCGGGAGCAACAAACGAGTCGTCGTGACCAGGAGCAACAGCAGGAACAGGAGCAGGAGCAGGAGCAGGAGCAGAAGCAGGCAGCGCGACGAGGCAGCTAATAAGGAAGCCAGCACACACCCACACACATACAACACCTACACACAACACCCACCCCGCACACACACACACAGAAATTGATTAAGATGTCATGGAGATATGCGGTAAGTGGCCCAAAATGAACTTCAAAGCAGCACCGAGCGCATTCGCTCCTGGCTTAGTTTATTTTAGTTTAGTTTACTTTGGTCCTATCCAGTTTTGTCCTGTGCTCTGGTCACACTTTTGGGCAACTGTCAGCTGGAGCAGCTGATGTTTAGCAGCTGGCTATGTTGTTGATGCTGTTTTCATCATGGCGCTGCTGACCTTGAGCGCATCTCCGTGTGGCTGACCCAATTTGTGGCTGCATTAGATTACAAAGGCAAAGGCCAAGCCCACTTTTCCACGTTCACCTGTGTGTGTATGTGTAGGTGTGTGTGTGTGCCATTTTGCAGCTGCCAGCAGCCACCTTGCAGCACAGAGCCTTGGCACACACACACACAACAAGCAATTCAACGTGCTCCGCAACCCTTAACCCATTCATGCACACAAGGCCTCCTAAATGCAAATGCTCTATGGCGAAAGCAAAGTTCAAGTGCCTTTTGTATAATGCTTGATGTACACACCCACACACACACCCACACCCACACACACACCCACACACACCCACTCACACTTTTGTATGTATTTCCACAACAATAACCATAATTTGCTGTCGTGAGCAGTTTAGCAAACATTTCCGCTGCATTGGCGCGTAATTTAAAACGCACAAAAGCTCGCTATTTATTCTAAACTTCACTTTATGGTTTATCATCATGTAGGAATTGTATTTATTAAGTTTATCGTGCACAAATGCAATCATATGCGTTGTGGCGCCCAACGTGAGGCGTGCGCATCCCGTTGCAACGTGCTTCATTCGCAGTACTCCACTCTATAAACAACTTGCTTAATAGTTTAATGTTCACATATATAATACACGAGTGAAAAAATTTCAAGTTAACCCTGTCCAAGCAAAGTTAGTTGAGCAAATCTTAAGATAAAAAAATGTATACAAAGTTAGGTCCAGTTAGAACAGAGAAATTAAATTGGCTGTTTTAATCAGACCAGTAGTTAACGATTAGTTAAGTTGACCAATTTACGTATAAATAACCCACCATGCATATCTTGGAAGATTCGTCCTTCAACGGACAACCGTATCCCAATTTAATTAATTTAGCCTACCCTTAAGCTGCTTAAATTGGGAGCACTCCAGTTTCTAAAGACTCTTCAAAGTGAAGAGTCATTTATTAAAAATCAGCCGATATTGTCAAATGAAGCAAACTGAAGCTGGGAATTCAAATTTCATTTACGGTATTCAATTGGGCGCACTCAGCAATTCTATTTATTTATTTTTAACTTAATTTTCCAAATATACATTATCCTTATTGAATGTAATGTAACACTTATCAGCTTTGCTTTTGATCTATATTCGTGTGTGCAATCACTTAGACCTGGGCTCATTCTCCTGCTTTTTGTGGCGCCCAATGTGGGGCACGTTGCAATTACTTGCCGTTTTGGCACTTATCGGGGCCACGACATAAGCGTCAGCTGCATTACAAGTATCGCATTCGTCGACTGACCCGCAAACGGATATATGTAATAGGCTTTTGAAGGGTGGATGGGTGTCGTGGGGGGGTGGGGCTAAGCCTAAGCAGATTACTCATACGTCGCGTGGGCCAATTAACTTAATTATCAACGAAAATTTTACAGTAAAATGCCCCAAAGCGGTAACACCCGCTGCTCTGACCATGTGGCGGGCCTTCAAGGCTAATCTGCCTCGCCAAGCACACACAAACACACCCACACACACAGAGAGTGAGAGAGAGAGAGAGAGAGAGAGAGAGAGAGAGAGAGAGACAGAGATAGACGCACACTCGAACACAGCGTGAATCAAATGTTTGGCATTTTGGCGTCGACTTGGAGTCGCATCTATTGAACTTGAAAAATAAAGCAGCTGAATGCAAAATTAATTAAATTGAGGGCGCTGGCATAGAATTTGCGTTTTGGGCTGGTTGCTGGGCCTAATGTGGGGCGCAGCCACTGAAGCGAATAAAGCGCCCCCCACCCTATCCCCCTCAGGGGCGTGCATTTAATTGGGCAGCCATTCGCTGCTTCCGTGTAATGTGCATTTAAAAAAGAGGGGGACAAATGTGGAAAAAATAAAAAAAGAAAATGAAAAAAATTAAATATAAAGCCCAATCGCTTAGCTGAAATGTCAATGTCATTCGGTTGGCTGTCAATGTTGTTGTCGTGTTGTTGTTGCTGTTTTCCATTGTTGTTGTTGGGTTGGCGCTGAGCGCGCTAATTGAACGATCGATAGAGCGTTGTACATCTCCCCGTTGTGGCTAGATGTACTGTGTATGTTCTATATATGAGTATACGCCTATATATGGCCTATATATAGATGGCGCACACTTAACAATTATGTGGGCGCACATTGTGGGCGTGTAGCATCGCCAGCGGTCGTCGATTGGCAGCTGTTGCGCCTCATTGAGCAAAAGCGAAAGGCAAAATGCCGAGCGGCCACTTTAAAGCGAATTGTTGTCGCTATTGTTGTTGCCCATGCCATTGTCTAAGAAATAATGAAAAAAGAAAAAAATAAATAAAAATAAAAAGAAAAACAATTATCACCAAAAATGTAATGAGTTAGTTAGACATGAACTGAACAGTCAGCTTTAAAAGGTAACTTGTATTCATTCAAGTTGCTATACGTATTTTCCCATGGTGCTTACATGATACACACATTGTATTTTGAAAGTACGCATACTACTTCAAGTACTCAAATGCTTAGAACACATATAAGCAATGATGGCACGTTTATATATTGTATGTGTATGTCCCTTAAGTATACTGGCAAGTACTCATATCCTACTCACATTGCATATCAAAAGTACTTGTAGTACTCTCAACACTCAAATGCTGGAATATTCAAAGTATTCATAGTACTTTTAGCACACAAATGCTCAAAACACAGAAAATGTATAAAAAATATTATTAGTAAATTTCGTATTTTCTTGGTACTTGTATGACACTCATAGTACTCTAAGCACTCAAACGATGAAACATTCAAAGAAGTCATGGTAGTCTTAGTATATAAAGGATACAGAAGAAATATTTAAGCCTATACGAGTCTATTATTAATATACTCTTTATTTCCGTAGTACTTATATACTACTCACATACTACTCACTATACATCCCAAGTACACGCAGTACTCTAAGTATACACATGCTAAAGACACATACAAAAGTTATCATTAATATGCATTTATACATATATATAATTATTATACCATATGTATATTTATAATTAGTATACTTTCTATTTCCGTAATACTCATAAGCTATTCATATTAAATATCCATAGTACTCATAGTACTCATAGTACTCAAACGCATATTGAATATGTAAATACTTATCTTTTTCGTCCAATTCCCATTTATATGGTACCCGATATAGTAGTCTGTGCTATAAACTGAAATATCGCTTACACTAACTAACTTTTTGTTATTAAGCCAGTGTCGACTTTTACATTCACGAGAGTATCACGTGCTCATCGCTAGCTCAGCCATTCAATACTTCGAAAACAGTATCAAACCACATTTCGAGCCCCATTTTTGGCGCCCTATCAGCCTTGAGCAATGCATTTAATGCATAAATTGTTAACAAACACAGCAACAAGCAACACGAGAGAAAAAAAAAACAACATGTATAGCAATAAATAGACGATTTGATGAGCTGTCCCACACCTCGAACCCACAACACAACAAATGTGCCGCACACCTTAAATGGCAAATTAAAAACTACTGCGCATTTAATTTGCGCAATTTTCATTAAGCAGTTTTTCTGTTTTTCCGCCTTTGTTTTTGTTTTTCCCGTTTTCTCTTCGCTTGAGTCATTGAGTAAACGAGACAAAAAAATTTAGCTGCCAACTTGTTTGCGTATCCCTTAACACGTGAAGCCCGCGCTGAGGCGCATTAACAAACTCTGCGCCAAGTCGCAAGATCTTTAATAATTGTACATGCTATTTATTTAATTTTGTTTATTTATTACCATTGCCATTACTTATCGTCTTTTTGGCGGGCTGTTAAATCAATAAATTTGTCTGCAAGCTTGCATGTCATTGCATTCGGATTGTTCTTTTCTCTTCTTGTTCCTAGACGCTGCACTATGGGCCAGACTGACACTAGCTGGCACAAAAAATATGTATTTACTTTGATCGTGCTGTATAACATATTTGAGCCCAGGCGTCAGCTCAATAAAACTGTAACTTATGTTTAGGTTATTATTTTTTGGCCAACAAATGTTCAATTTGGCCCACTGTGCTGGTGCGTTGAGCTGCAGAATACGTATACGTACCGTTGGACATATGGATATGCATGCATATCTCTAGCTGACCCATTCCTGTGCCCCTCCGTCGAATTCAACCTACCCATTATTTCCCATTCATATTTAGTTTTTAGGCCAGCGTAATTCCCACATACTTAAGTCTTTCAATCATAGTTTTCAGCATGCCTGTCGATTTTTCGCACTTATTGGGCAGCTAAAATTCAATTTTGAGTATTTTTCATTTGCATTTTTGTGTGAAATAAGGCCGACAGTAAATAAAATGAACAACAAATAGAAATGTATACATTTCTTTATATGTGTAAAATAGTTTTTAAATTTATGGAAAATTTATTGCCTACCAACAAAATACGAAATACACGTTCTCTATAAAATGTAATCAAATTTCCAAAACTTATCCTGAGTGTGTCATATGCGAATAACATTTGAATACAATAATATAGTTAGATTTAATATAAAATAAATTTGCCAAAACTATAAATTCGTATAGAAAAAAATTCTAAAGCAGGGGCCTGTCCTTTAGCAGTAAGGGTTGATGATCTCAGCGATGTTAGCCATTTAGTTTGTCATTCGCCCCAAAAGGCTATCATTAGATGGCACTGATAAGGCAAGTGTCTAGTGGCAGGTCGCAACAAGGGTGTGTGGCACGTATACGCCACGTTGACAGCATTTGGTTTGCCTCCATCGTGCGAGCGTTGCAACAGTTTTCAGCTGCAGCTGCAGCTAGCCGTTTGGTCAAACGCTTGACCTGGCCTGAGCTGAGCTGACACAGTTTTGTTATTTGGCAGGAAGTGCTCGGGGTCGAACGATGTCAGACATGGGTTAAACACATAACCACATAACCACGAAATGGAGACGAGCCGACTAACTAATAGATCAAACAATGTGGCCATGCACGTGTGTGCCTGTTGTATCTGTATCTGCGGCGGCAATCAAGTAGCTGGCTTTATAAAGGTGTCTATGCGGGCCAGTCCGTTGGCACTGTGGCTATTAAAAGCGACAAAAACGAGCGACACCTTGCATAGACACGGGGCGAAGTGCCAATAAAAATGCACAAAATAACATACTCAACGATATTCTAAATATACGTGACTCGATTCGGCGGCGAAATGCTGATGATTAAGTTCCATTTAACATTTAATCACAGACTAAGTCCAGCTAAATTGCCTCGACATGCGGGTGGCACCCAATGCTGATCATTCGCCGTGCCTCAGCATGACGCATCGTCGACAATATGAGTCCACTAAACGCTTCTCGAACAGTGTTGTCAAGTGCTTCTAAAAAAGTAGCGTAATTCTGTGTTAACAACAGCTAAAAATTGCAAAATTAGCTTGCTGACCACGAATGGGCCAAAAAAAACTGTAAAAAAGCTAATTTACTCAACAATCATACGTCTGATAAAATAGCTAGCTGCTTTAGCTATAAAATGGCTAAATGGGCAACACACAAGCACATTTCGTGGATTTTTGAAAATATTTCCAACCGTTCGAGGAATGTGTCGAAAATGTTATTCGCTGAGCAGTTTTCATTTAGCAGCGATTTTCGCAGCGTTTTGTGCATGTGCTGTGTATTTTTAGACACACGCACACATATATATACACACACATATGCACACATATATGTGCGGTTAGAGTGAGCATCTTGTTGTTTGTTTGTGTTTTGCGGAACAAGGTCAAGGCGTCGACAGTGACCAAAAAAAAAAAAAGCCAAAATCAACGACGCCAACGCCTTTTTGTGCACCTGAAGGCGAAATGCTTCGGTTCTGTCTCATCTTCATATCCCAGCGCCCCCTCCTTGAGAGCTGTCAGCCACCTGCAATTTGGCCTCAAAGAAAATTTCTATATTATATCATATGTTTGTATTGAATTGATCTAAATATAGCTATTACTAGACTTCTACGTAGGCCCGTTGCCTAGGCAGTTCTTTGGAACAGCGTATGATGTGACATATATGAAATTCAATTTCAGTGACATATTTTCTATTTTTGATCAAGCTATAATGTCACTAAATCTAAAAAATATATATTTGACATTTTAAATAATATCGTTCTCATTTGGAATTATGTGTAATCTATTTCTTGTACTTATAATTGACATATTTAGCAACACAGTATAGTTGCCTTATCCTATTACAATGTCTCTACAGATCATATAGAAGTCTCAATCCCACACATATTATTTTAAATATGATTAATATTGACTTTCAAGCAATTTAGTTTTAAGTTTTCATTTGCCTTAAAAGTTTAAATCACATATACACAAATTATAAAATCTTATTTGAAAACTTCTTTGTCTTTAGAAAATCGTTGTGAGTTAAAAAAAATATTTAGAAATCAGCATTTTTCGAGAACACTTCTATTCACTTGTCATTTCCGGCAGTTTATGCTGTCCAGAGTCATAAGTCTGTACATAGTTTTTAAGGTATTTAAGCTTTTCCTGTTGTCTACACTCTATGTGTCCTTATCTTTCCTTTGTTGTTTTGCAACACTATTTTGATTATTTTGTACTCTGATCTTGAACACTTTTTACAGCTACTCACCGACAGATACAGCAGCAGCATTGGCGATAGATATAGTCCGCACTATTATCAGGTTTGTCTGAGTTCCTAAGCGCAATGCATGCGACCAGTGCTGTGTAATTTCATTCCTAATGTGTGCTCAAACAACGTGTAATACAGCACTGCTACAACTAACTTGATGCTCGAATGGCCAAATGTTTAAGCTTATTAATAGGCATTTGCTGCTTGCAACAAAAAACTACTAATCCCAAAAAAAAAAAATAAAATAAAAAAAAGACTACTTGGCCTTGGCGAAATCTAACTTAAGTTAAATGTTCCACAGATTCAAAGTTGTTGTTCGCATAAATCTTGTGGCTAAACGAATCAAATGTTAATGTTGTGTATAAATATGCTTCAGAGATATGCAAATGTATAGCTAAGCATATAGATATGTTTGTTTGTGTGTGTGTGTGTCTAGATAAATTGTCGTGCTGTGTCAATTTGTGTATATGTGCGTGTATTTGTATGTGTGTGCATGTGCCAGAGATCAGTCACAATGGATCAAAATCGAATAGAAAAAGTGAAAGAACTTTTGCTCTCTGATTTTGCTTTTGGCTTCTGTGCTGCGGTCTCAGGGTCGAATGCCGCGGCAAAAAGTAAAAGTTTCTATATATTTCTTCTTAAACAATAACAACAAACATTGCGCCCCTGCTCTGCCCTCCTCCTGCCAGCCAGTCCGTCAGCCCGCCAGCCAAGCCCATCTCCCATCCGCCCTCCCAGCTCTGCTCTTGTCGGCGCCGCGCTGTCGCTGATTTTATTTGAATATGTTATGACAAAGCAGAGACAGCCGATAAGCGAAACTAAAATGCGAACTAAAAAAATTAAAAAAAAAAGAAAAATATAGATGAAAGAAAATACAAAAAGAAAATGTTTCACTTTCCCCATTGACTTTGGCGACTGTCCCTGACAATTGACAAACGAGCAGGCGAGACAAGGACGCGAAAAGGCGCGACCTTCGCCTTTGCCATCAAATTTGCTGGCCGAGCTTTTGCCAACAAACCCGCTCAGTACTCTAGATGCCCATAAATAATTTCCACTTGCCAAAATCTACACAAATTTACATTTCCGTAGCGCGCTATTCGAGCACAAAACAACCCGATTTCGGCATATTGACCCAAATGATGTCGGCTCGAGTCAAGCGACAAACATTCTTTCATATATATGCGCACATTCTATTATCAATAATACAATTGTTAATGCTTAAAGTAGTATAAATATGCATGCTATGCATGCTAATTAATGTAATTTAATTTTTACTAGAATTGTTCTGTAGCAAACGCAGTTCTATAAGACCACCACGAACTGCAATATAATGCTGGGTATATAATATTAAATATGGTGTTGAGTTCTATTAATGCGTCGCTTGCTTATCGATCTCCATGTTATATGTCCCCCCTTTGATATCTGACTTAAATATACCTTAAAATGCTTAAAATTTGAAATGTTTTCTCTAATTTATTTTGTATCCCCCTTTTTTTATTTATAGAATTTAAAATATTTACTTAGGCTAGTAAATATCTCGATGCTCAAGTCAAGACTTAAGCTTATTTAATTTGTTATAAATAAGGCATGGTTCAGGGTATAGAGGTGTATACAATACATAGACAAATTTCAATTCCGGCGGTTCGGTTAAAAACCGGGCTATTGAAGACTTTCCGTAAACATACTCGAGTCTAGAAAGTCTTTTGGACTTCAGCCATATTTATGTATTTGATTAATAACTAACATCTTGCGCAAGTTCCGCAGATAGAAGACAGAGTCCTTTATCTAAAAGTTTTGTGCCACACATAAACTTCTTAAGCCCAGTAAAAGGAACTCTCGCAATTTACTAACCAACCTTGCCAAGCATAATTTGCGAATTTGCGCATGACAAATACTTGCAACAATTTCCAAATATGATTTTGAACAAAATGAGTTAATTGAATTGTTTATTAACTATTTGCTTGCAGTCGCCCAGCCGTCTGGAAACCTCCGAACAGACCACAGGACGCCAGCTGCAGCGAGTACTGCATTATTCGATGGCCCCGTGCCGGACATTGCCCGGCCTGAGGCGTGCCGAGTGCGCCATACACGATGTTGACTGTGATGAGGTCTATCCGGGCATTTATATTGGCGATGCGTGAGTCCTTGTGCACTCCATGAACTCCATTCCGTGCTAATACTCAATATGATTCTTCTGCCTTTTGCAGCGCGGCGGCCAAAAACAAAACCTATTTGCGAATGATGGGCATTACGCATGTGCTGAATGCCGCGGAGGGCTGTCGCTACGGTCAGGTGGACACGGGACACAGTTACTATCGTGATATGCCCAGCATTAGGTGAGTGTGGAGTTGTTAAGGCGTCGAGTTCATGATCAAAATGCGGGGGCTGCTCATGCACATTACTTATCGATTTATTTGCTCAATATCGATTCTGGCATTTTGGTTTATCGCGAAAACGCAAACAAAATTGTAATCCTAAAAAAAAAAACGCCAAAAATTTCTTTTTCTTTTTATTTCATCCACCGTACACTATCGTTTGTATATATGTATACACATGATCACACAAATACACCCACACACACCACCTCACACCCCCCACACACCCCCACACCCCCACCCACACACACATCCCCACCCACACATTTGACCAATCGCATTGTCATCATGTCTCACTGTGGGCCATTTTGTTGTGCTACTCGCAACATATTTGTATCTATGTGTGTGTATGTGTCTAGACGCCAACATAAGGATTGCATTTTTAGATATATGGGCTTCCCCATGGTCGATGCCCCAACGCAAGATATATCCCGTTACTTCTATGTGGCAGCCAAATTCATAGACAGCGCCATCAGCAGCGGCGGTGAGTACAAAATTCGATATCATAAAGCTTTCTTCAATTAAATGCAATTCAAATTCTTTCTAGGCAAAATTCTGGTGCACTGCTTGGTGGGCATGTCTCGGTCGGCCACTTGTGTGCTGGCCTATCTGATGATCTGCCGCAAAATGTCCGCCGTAGACGCGATACGGACGGTGCGCATGCGCCGTGAAATACGACCAAATGATGGCTTTCTGCAGCAGCTGGCCGATCTCGATATGGAGCTGAAGCGCAAGAACCTTTATCCCTACTAAGGCAATACCAAAACCCAACACAACCAAAGATATATATATCTACATATATATATATATACAACACACACACAACACACACACATACACATATATATCTATAGATGTATAGGATAAGGATAGAAAGAATGCTGACAATGGGCTAAAGAAAAAAAACACACAGAATTGTTGTATTGCTAAGAGTTATAAAAACACACACACACATGGGCAACGTTTATGCGCTGTGCTTAAATCATGATATGAATTCTGAGTAAGTATAGAAATCAGTATAAATATGTATTTCATGTTTAAGCAATCAGTATAAAGAAATCACTATACAGTTGTATTTCATGTTTAAACAAGTTTCAATTTTATGATATGGCTGCAGCGTATAAGCGTGTGTCAAAACAGCTACACACACACACACAACAAGTACACAAATGCAACGTTTACACGCGCTACCCTAATCATGATATAAATTTTGAAGATTCATAAAAAAGATATATTTTGATGGGTATATATAAGAGTTTGACACAATTCCAAAAGGGGCGCATATGGGTGTTACGTATATATATTACACACATGCACACACACACACATATATACAGACAAAGCGTTGTTCTAAACTATTTATAAACATAAAAAGCTAACGACTTAATGGTAACTTGGTCTTCTGATATAAAAAGCTGTTCAAATCAATTGTCTAATCGTGACATCTCGTTATATGCATACATATACAAATATATTCGGTCGTACTTCCATTTACTGGGTATCAGCACACCCCTCCCACATACATAGCTACCTAGGCATGGATCGACGATCTACAGCACAGCGTGAAACAATAATTGCAAGGATCGAGCTGACATCTGAACACCAAGGCATATATATGCATATACACATATACATATATATATATATAGATATGTATAGATGTGCATGCAAAACTAAATATATACTTACCTATACCATATACACATATATTGATATACATGTATTCCTATGATATTTTTTGTATGCAACTCTTTGTTATTTTACGGTTCATGTCCTACCTGCATATATAGCCCACATACAAGCATATACTCTTAAGCGTATATGCACTTAGGCATATAAGAAAAGCTGAAAAAACCTAAACAAAATGAAACAACACAAAATGGAACAATGTATAGAACACAAGATGCGTATAAAATGAAAAAAAAAATAAAAAATAAAAAAAACTGATAAAAAATCTGTTTAATGTATAATTAGTATATACAACATGCGTTATACACACCCTATATAAAAATGATATATACACACAAACTAATATGTTTGTACATATATGCGTATATTCAACTATTGTACAATGAAATAGCAAAGCTAACAAAAAAGAACAACAACAAGAAGAAGGAAATCCAACAAAAAAATGTATAAAAAAAACAACCAAATTCATATTTTCTAGAACATGTATGAGCAGAAATAAAAACGAAATAATAAAAGCGAAGAAAGCGAAAAGCGAATAAAATAATAAAACTAACAGACTCTAAGAAGTGATTGATAAAAAAAAAACCTTGACAAATATTCTAAAATATTGAAAAAAACATTTCTGTGACATTATTCAAAAACCGTTTGTGAACTCTGTCATATATTTAATATAATTTTGTTTTTATACGTTTTTCAATCAGTTGAAGGAAACTGATGGCATAAATTCAGATAAGCTGAATCGATATGTAATAGCATATGTAATCGATATATAGCATATATAATCAATATATAGCAAATAAAATCGTTACATATCCTATATACAGGCAATAGATTGGATTGTTTTAGTCGCATAAGAGCTTAATAGATACCTTAATGATTTTATGATTTCGAGCATATATCTAGCACCTATAATCCCTGAACCAAACGCGCTATGACCTAATCGACTTGACTAAATACATATACATGTATTTTCTATGGTCAACTCAACAAAGGCTCCAAGCGCAACAGACATTTTTGTGGCTGCGATGTTCCACGTCTTTAAGCTCAGGTTCTTTCAGTTTGCTATGTAACTACTTAATTTATCATTAATTTAATTAATTACGTGCGATTTTCTTATTTTCTTAGTTCTCTTGTTAGCATAATTATCAGATTCAGGGTAAATAAAATTCTAGAATTTCATGCAGTTCAATCTGTTCGTTTTAACCCTAATTTGCAGCCTTGCTATGTATGTCCTAAGTCTATTGGAAAAAGGTAAACTATTTGTAAAGGGTATTACGTTTATGTACTTTGCTTTTTAATTTACTTTTATTTATTATTTTGCCAAGAATCGGTCTGCAATATTAGCTTTAACATGACAGGTATTTTTCTATTTCTATTTATACATACATATATATGTATATATATATATTTTTTTGTATTTTAAACTATTTTATGTTAATATTTATTTGTAATATTTAAATATTCAAGAAACTATTCAATTGAAATATTTTAAATACTACGAATATCAGAGACATGATTTTAAATTATAAGAAGTTCACCCTCTCGCTCCTTTGGTTCTCAAACTAGGTGTATAAATTCTGACTAGAACCTATTATATAAAGCATATTAAGCCCTTGGCTCGGCTTGGGCTTGTTCATGCTATGAAACCTTTATGTTTTCATAATCTGTAACGATCGAAATATGCATGTGTGTGTGTGTACTTTTATGGGCCAGTGTATTTTGTAGTTTCCGCCACCAGCTGAGAAAACGTTTAAAATTTAATTTTGTGGCTCATACTTACAAATTGCCACCGTAAATCCAATTGCTTCTGGATGAGGTTTGTTGTGTTTTCTTCCTCTGGCTTCTGTCTGCTGGCCAACAGTCGGGTGGGTCGCTGGTCGTCTGTCGGGGGGAGGTCAGTGGGGGCCCATTATCTAGACATTAGTTGCGCCTGCTAACTGCCTGGCAACACCTGCAGCGGCGACGACTGGTTATCGGCGCGAGTGTTGTGCCTCGAAAGCGGAGCTTGTAATTAAAAGAAATTGCTACCTGGAGCATGCCGAGAGCGGGGGGCGCAACTGTTGAACCTGCAACTTGGAACCCACAACCTGGAACCTGGACGCTGCGCGCCGCATAGTTGACCCTAATTTAAAACAATCAATAACTGCGCCACAAGAACACTCAAGATTGAAGATTTCGATCTTGCGCGCGCGCAGTCCAAACAATAAAATTAATGTCTCCGGCGGCTTTAGCTGACCAGCAGGCCACTTAAGAGACCCGCACCAACGCCCAGCCTCGAACAGGTAGCAGCCGTAAAAAGTCGTTCAACAAAAACAAACTGACAGACAGTCAGCTAGGCATGCAACAAAAATTAGCCGCTGTATGTATACCCTATAAAATAAAATAGAAATATATATTTTGAATGATTATGATTTACTATTGCTATCTTTCTTGCAGAGAATTTATTTTTGGATTTTATAAAAAGTTTCTCATGTCTGTTATATTTTAAATTCCAAAAACCCTGCAAAAAGACGTTGAATTGAAATCGAGAGATAATTAAGGTAAGTACACAGTTTTTATTACAAAATTGACATCGAAAATTTGGGGCATTTTTTTTCTATTTTCATTAGTCTTCATTTTTTGTCAAAGTTCTAACTAACCTCAGAAGCAGCAAAAACAAGTACTCAATTGTATACAAAAATGACTTCTATAATTTAATTTACTTTTCGAACATTTTTCGAATATGTTCTCGAAATGTTCTCGAAATGTTTTTTTATTTTCTTTAGTCGAATTCATATTAAATGAAACAAAACAAATGCACAATTTTGGAAAGTATTCAAAATCTTTTCATGAGTTTGTTGATATGTTGCCTAGATAAATATTTCCTCTTTGATATGTCGAAATATCTTAACAGAACATTCCAGTCAAAATTAGTATTGAAATTCTATTAAGTAAAATAAATTGGAATTTTTGAGTGCATTGCAAATATTTTCAGAATTTTGCGCTAATTATTGGAACAAAACTTGATATATTTTAGAATTTAGCTTCAACTAACGAAAAGTTTTCCAGACAAAAAAATATATATATATAATTTGTAATTTTATGCTGTAGTCAATCAACCCAGCCTCCTATGGAGTATCTACTTGTGCTTCTTCTCTGTTGGACCTGGTCAAATGGCAAGGGCGTCCAGCAGCGTAAACTAGTTTCGGGTTTTTTTTTTTTAGTTTATTTTGGGGTTGGTCGGTTTCAATGACGGTTTTCCCAGCCAAATGCATTGTAGTTCTTGGGCTAAGCTGCTAGAAATCATTTTTCAAATACACACATTTAAGCCCCGTTGCGAGTGGCCGCCGTCTCCGGGTGATCCCCCAACTGTGACACATGTTCCGGCTCTGCAAATAGGCGAAGGAGCAGCGGGGCTGAGCGGCTGGCGAGGGGAGCAACAAACGCACATAAAACAATTATTATTATTAATAAGTTAGTTTTACTCCACGTGCGGCGTTTGCTTTAGCGGGCAAATGGATGGGGTAGTTCGGATAGGGCAGGGTGTCAGGGAGGTTGGGGGGTTGGTTGGGTGCGTTCTGATGAGCGCCAAGATTAAGCATGAAAAATGTTACGAATTTCCCTGTAATTAATCTTCATCTGCGCTAAATGGAAGGAGCCAGACACGGACACCACCAACAGCAGCACCATGGCACATGCAAAAGAGTTAAAATAATAAGTACACACACTCGCACTCAGCCAAAGGCACCCACACTCACATTCGCACTCATATGTTCGCTTGGGCCCAGGGTAGTTACCCAATTCGAATTGTCCTTAAGCTCAACAAATAGTTGAAGGCAACAACAGCTGCGTACGGTTCTCTCAAAGCTCTCCACCGGGGTTTGTCCCCTTGGATAGGTTAATGGCAACGCAAATATATATCTTCATATATATATATATATATACATATATACATAAAGTATTCATGGATAACTAGCATTGCTATGCAAACAGTTTGTGTTCTGTATTGTTGCTGTCAGTTTGGAAATATGGGTGCAGTGCCTAGTCACATGTTATTGTTGCGTTTGTAATAAGTATATCGAGTACATTTGGTAAGAAGCAAAAGCGACCCAAGACCAAACTAGAATTTTACGGTTAAACTTAATAGAGCCTAGACCAAAACAGTTTGCGAATTATAATACTCTTATTGCAAAACGTTTACGAATGGCGCACAAAACAGAACTGATCAAAATCGATGCTCTTGAGCGTGTAAATGGGAGGACATTAGGAATTGGGGTCGTAAATACATATTTTTTGCATGGCGTAAATTGAACTCTACATATGAAACAATAGATAAACGTTTCATAGAGCGCGGTCCGGCTGGGAGTCATAATTAAATTAGGTTAACTGCACATGGAAACTGCTCTCTGGTGCTAATCCATTAGAATTTATGAGACAGACATCGTGCGATATGTTTCATTAAGTTTGCTTTTACCATATATTAACAGCTCTCCGAACCGTACAACTGCTGAGTCAGACAGTTGATGAAATACAGATCCAGATACACAAATCCAAGTAGATATGAGTGCATAAATTATTATTTCATTGGCTACTGAAACTTCGAATCCGTAAGAGTCGAGCCAATAAACAAATTAATATGACAATTTGCGACAATTTATGGCTGTAATAAAACGTTTATTTATATGTGGTATAAATAAATTTGTGTATACAAACACAATACTGAGAATCAATTGATACCCTATATGTCAACAAATGTTTAAGCGTAAGGGTATTCAATAATTTAAAGCATTTTGTTGTTCTACTTACTTTATATTGGACTTATACACTTGTATACAATGAAGAGTCGTGTGGATAGAGCTACGAGTATTGGGAAATTTGTATATTCTCGATAATTATCGATGTTATGATATGATAGAAAGATGTGACTAATATTATATGTTGCGGGACGAATTAAGTTATCGATTGTTTAGTATTAAGTATATTCTGAGAGTATGTATTTTTGCCCT